TTCTTGATTTCCACATTATTGAATTTTGTGTTAACTTTAACAACGATGATTTTACTTATTCTTGGTTTATCAAAATTATAAAAGTCAAGTCCACATTTTTTATTTGAATATCTTTGTCCACCCAGCACATCTTCTAAATCAATTTGATATTTTTTATATTTCTTTATAACTTAGTTTAATTCAACAATTTTGGATTCATGTTCTTGATATTTATTACATGCGGAAATTTTGACTTGGTCTATTTCCATTTTCATGTTATTTGCCTCACTTTATAGAGATCAAATAATTTTCTTTTTATTTGAACATTTGATAAAAAGATTCGAACATTCCTCATATAATTCATGGAAAATATTTTGCAATTTATCGTATGAAGGTATATCATTAATATCAGAATCACAAACCTCCTTTTATTCATCATGAGAATAGTGTGAAGCCATTTATGCCATGTTTGCTTCCTCTTCATCTGAAAATACACTTATCTCAGTGTTATCTCATGTCACATATGATTTCTTTGGCAATTTTTACTTCTTGCTATTGACTTTATTCTTCTTTAGAAATGTAGAGAATTCACTTTTTACATGTCATCTTTTTCCATATTAAAAAAAAGTAACCTTACTTTTTGAAGTTGGTGCTTCTTTTTGACTAGTACCCTTTGTCCTTTTTTTGATCAATTTTTTTTTGAATTTCTAGATCAATACATCATCTTCATCACTAGTAGATTGGGATTCATCTTCTTATTCACTATCATTAAATTTGACTCTAGTTTTTAAGGCAAGACTTTTGGGTTTCTTTTCTGGATTTTCATGTGTTTCTTTCCTTTCAAGTTCTATTTCATGTTCTTGAAGTTTACCAAATAATGCAGCTAGAGATATTTTTGAGAGATTTTTCTTTTCTGATATTTTTGCCACCTTTGGCTTCCATGCTTTTGTCAATTAATTAAAGACTTTGAGATTCAAATCATCATTTGTGAATGTTTTTCCTAGAGCCATCAAATGATTTGTCAAATATAAAAACCTCTTTTGCAAGTCAAGAATTGTTTCTCCGGAATGCTTCTAAACATGTCATATTCTTGTGATAAGGTGTTTACTTTCGATCTTTTTACTTTTATTGTACCTTCATGAGTCACCTCCAAAGTATCCAAAATTTCTTTTGCTGTCTTACAATGAGATACATGAAATAATTTGTCCATACCTAGGGTTGATTGTAGAATATTCTTTGCCTTTTTATCAAATATCACTTTGTTCTTGTCATTTTCATCCCAAGAGGCTTTTACTTTTTATTATTCTACATCATTGATGATCGTCTTAGGAATGTAAGGACCATTTTCAGCGGCATCCCAAATTTCTTCTCCTTGGGCTTCTAGATATTCTTTCATGCAAATTTTTCATAAGTCATAATATTCACCAATGAAACATGGAGGTTTGTCGTAACTACCACCATCTCTAAAAATAGGATTAAAATAAGACATTTTTCCGGGATCGAGGAGCAAGTTACCTTAACCTGCTATGATGTCAAATATAAGTATAATGTGCAATCTAAAGGGGGTGAATTTGACTGGCTGGATTTTTCTTGTATTTCATAAAAGTTTCTTTTCTTTAGAATGATGTTATGCAGAAAATCAAAGTACAAAAAAGTAAATGACACAAGTAATTATACTATTTTCTCTTATCAACCAAGGTTATATCTAGTCCCTTCACACCTTGAAGGATTTTCCACTATGTTAGACCTATGTACAAGTCTCACACCAATATCTATACTACAATCTTCTTACATAACAAAGAAGCACATAACTTCCTTGATTTCAAAAGCACCAAGCCTATGGTGGACTTTGAATCAACTCAATTCAAATGAAAATTTCACAAAGTAGAAAGTACACCACTTCCTATTTACAAACACCTTTCACCAACACACTATGATGAAAAGTAATATACACACTTGTGTAGAAACTTGAGAAATATTTGACTTGCCTTAAATTCCAAGATAATCAATTTGATCTTCTCTTTCATATACTTAAGTTCTCAAACTAATTGAATGAAACTCTATTTCAATGGTATGAAAAGTTATGCATAAATTTTCATTGTAATGGATATATAAACACTTAAAAAACTTGTTTGAATTATATGAAAAATGATGTATGAAAGATGCAATTGAAAAAATGATGTATTTTGACTTAAATACATCTCATTATGCCTCTTTGATTTGATACAATGTTTTGGAAAAGTTTCATGATCATTTGCAATGCTTTGGAATCAAAATGGTTCATATTTTTCAAAATAGTATGTTTTTTTGAAAAAGTAATAGTAAAATTACAGTGATTTCATACTCCCACAATTTACGAACCAGTGTACTGTTTCATAAAACAATAAAATTGCAACGGTTCCAGACTGCCACAGTTTACGAACCAGTGTACTGTTTCAGAAAATAATAAAATTGCCATGGTTTCAAACTGTCATAGTTTACAAACCAATGTATCGTTTAAAAAAAACATTAAGATTGTGGTGTTTTAAGCTGTTGTAGTTTATGAAAATTAGCTTTTCAAACAATGAGTTTGATCAATGGATTGTTGCATTTGCTCAATTGATTATTTCATAAGAAACTTGAATTTCCGCCTTTTAAAATTTGTGCTTTGAATGGAAATCAAGTATGAATGTTTAGGAAACATATAGTGGTTTCTAAATAAAAACATTTGAGCACCTAAAGCTTATATACATATTAATTTATATTGTACCTTAATCTTTATTATTCAATCTTTTTATTTGAAAATATTATGCAATCTTGATACTTGATTCTAATCTTTTTCTTCTTTGATATTTGTTCTATGATAAGCTTTTGTCTTCATCAAAACTAAGTTAAGATAGATGATGAACATCTTCTTAACATACCTCCCTCCCTTCTGCATGAACTATATCCACTAGGTAAGGTCTTCCGGGTTTACATGTCTTTCTTCAGCAGGGTCTAACTCTCTTATGTTTCGAGCTATAAAATATGTAATCCCTAGGAATCGTGCTTTCACCTATTAGATTCCCTCTTAATCAGAGCATTATTGGTATGTACGAAGGGTTAAAGTTTCATCATACTTCCAAGAATTTCTCTAAATCGGATCCTAATAAAATCCTAAGGTATTCTCAATTGCCAAGTAATAACATTTAGGTAATTATCTTATTCACTTCGTTAATCAATCGATCGACTTTACACAATCCATCCTTACGTTATACCCTTGCTTATCGTACATGATTATCAAGAGTTTCCAAATTCCTTAATCACACTTTACCTCTAATGACCTTGAAAGATAAAGATGTAACACTTAAGCCGACCGAGGTTCCTTCACAAAATAGTCGAACTGAGTAAGGTTCATACACAAATATATAAACCGAGTAGAGTTTGCATACAATCATCTAATTCAATTAGATTTCACACTTTCAATGTTATACCAATTAGGGTTTATACCTTTATCTACTAACCACCTAGGGTTCCTCTAGCTTGCTTAGACCCGGTGAGTTTCAGAATGATTTACATTACTTTATTAGACTAAATTTGAACACCTCTAAGAAGTTCTCCCAAATCATATATGATTTACAGGATAAAACAATCATAACCACTTATGAATCTAGCAGACTTAACATGGTACTTCCATAACATTATAATTTTCACGACTTCACGTCACATAAGATAAGTAAACACATGAAATTATAAAGTTGTAGGGGGAGTAATAGGTTACACTTTAACAAGTTACATACCCATATGCCACATATTTTTCGAATTTTCAGAGGTAGTAACCGGTTACACCATACCAATTTTCCTCAAAATAAACGAATTTCATGAGGTGGTAACCGATTACACCAAAAGTGCAACCAATTATACATGCAATTTTCTTGAAAAAATTCATGCTTTAACCAAGTTTCACAACAACAAAACAACAACCAAACAAACCCTAACATATTCTAACATGTTAAGAGTACTAAAACATAAATAAACAATACATGCAAGTTCCTCACATACCATAATTTCACACCAAACATGCATTCAACAAGAATAGAAAATTTTTCCTACTCAAGCAATTTCAACCATCATGAAATGGAATCCTAACATGAAAGGCGCTAAAATATAACCAAGAACCCCACATTTAATTGATAAACATAGAAATTGAGTGAGATGAGAAGGTGATGCTTTAGTCTTCTTTAAATTCCAACTTCAAGAAAGTATGATCATTCAAGGAAATATTCCCCAAGCTTGCTCAAATTATTCTTTTCTTGATTAAGAAAGTATGTACATATTTTTTCCAAATTTGAGGTGCAATTTCCGGTAGGATTCCTGACACGGTGAGGGCGAAAACTGGTACGGCGACGAGAACTGAAAACTACATCTTCTCAGATTCAACTTTTTCTCTGTGAGAGATTTTCCTCTAATGTTGGTTTAAACTCTTATTCCTTGGAATAGGGACCAACATTCGGTGAGTTCTCATACACGAGCCTTGATTCTGCGAGTATGGGAAGGGCGAGGGGACGACCAAAGAAGAAGAAGGTGTTATCCCCCCTAGTTCGTACTCTGGAAATGGAGAAAGGAACAAATACTGGAAGCACCCCAGGAAGCATGAGAAGTAGCCAACATGAGGAACAAGAGATAGAAAATGAAGACAAAGGAGATCCAAAAATTCCAGAAGTTGAAACAAGTGAGAATCGTGCCAAGGACAACATTAAAGATGAGCAAGCAAAGAAACTCTGGGTTGACGTTATAAGTGGTAATAGGATGGCCTCCAATGGAGTGGCTATATAATTCATAATACAAGACCAGAAAATAATGCAAAGTGACAAAGAGAATAACGTTGAGCATACACCTAAAGAGAGAGAGAACCAGGTTGGACCATCTTGCACCCAAGTGTCTTCAAGCTGGAAACACAAAGGTAAGGCTATTGTGAATGATGCTAGCAATGTTGTAGACTATCATAATGAGTTTGAGACACTTGGGATTTGGAATGATCCAAGTGTTCAAGAAGGTATTCCATGATTATTTGTTGGAATGTTATAGGAATAAATAATGCTGGGAAGAGTAGAGAGGTGTTTGCTAGGATAAACAACCTCAACCCTGCATTATCCATTTTAGTAGGGACTAGAGTTAAACACCACAAGGCTCAATCCATTAGGAATAAACTTGGGACAAAAAGGAAGTATCTGGATAATTATGAGAAACATTACAATGGTAAAATCTGGGTTTTGCAAGATGAAACCAGGTTAAAGGTGAAAAAGCTCAATAGCTCACACCATTTCATCCACTTAGAAATGGAAAACATTCATGATGGGAAAAAGAAGTGGTGTACAACTATATATGGTTTAAATACTCTTGATATGAGAAAGAGGCTTTTGAGGTATTAGAGTTTGGCCTAACACAACCTTACAAAACCGGTTGGTATATTAGAGTTTGACCTAACACAACCTTACAAAACCGGTTGGTAAGGTAAGGGGTGCCACTCTATATAAACTATTTCAATGCTCTATCTCTAACCAATGTGGGACTTTAGGATCTTCCTAATACACCCCCTCACGTCCAGCACTCTTTTGGGCTTGGTACGTGGATTTTTATACGGTGGGCTACCCAAGGTCCGATCGATAGGCTCTGATACCATATTAGAGTTTGGCCTAACACAACCTTACAAAACCGGTTGATAGAGTGAGTATTGCCCCCACTTATAAACACATGTTCATGCCATATATTGTCCGATGTGGGACTCTTAACAGGAGGGACATTGAAAATCTTCCATCTAATAGTTACTGGTTCATCATTGGAGATTTCAATAATGTCTGTAGTGCCTTGGATAGGATTAGTGGGAAGGATGTAGTGGAAGGAGAATACACAGACCTTACCAACATGATGGAAAATATGGGTTTGTATGAAAAAGATAGTGTGGGAGACCACTTCACATGGTTTAACAACCATGATCATGAAGCCATATATTCTATAATTGATAGAGTTATTGGAAACATGATATGGATTCAAAACAATATGAACACTCCCTTTAGAATCACGGAAGCTGGAGTCGCAAATCATGCTCTTCTCTGTCTTGAGGGGTTAAGTGTGAATCAGCCTAAGAAACCAATGTTCAAATTCCAAAATGTTGTTATCAACTTGGAAGGTTTCCATGAAGCTGTTAGATTAAATTGGAATCATCAAGTAGAGGGGACTGCTATGTTCATAATGTGGAAGAAGTTGCTGAACCTAAAAAACACTATAAGAGATTTGAGCAAGCCTTTGAATGGGGTTAAGGAGCAACTAGAATCAGCCAGAAACAGGTTGAAAGAGGCTCAAATCCTTTTGGAGAGGGACATGCTAAATAGTAGGCTCATAGAGGAAACTAAAACTTTAACTGAAGATGTTATCATACTTAACAACATTGAAGAACCGTTAATCTATCAAAGAGAAAAAATCAACTAGATCAAATTGGGTGATGGCAACAACAATTTCTTCCACGCCTCCTTGAGAAGTAAAAAATTAGAGCACTATTATGAATGCTCTTGCTGTCAATGATGGGACTATGCACACAGAGCAGAATAAAATTGAAGAGGTTGTTTTAAACTTTTATGTTGAATTGGTGGGGAAATCTGCCCAGACCTTAAATTGCATCAACTTGGTGGATATGAGAAATGGTCCCCAACTGAATGAAGAGTAAAATCAGGCTTTGGTGGCACCTATCTCTAAGAAAAAGATTAAGACAGCTTGTTTAGTATACATGATAATACAACCCCAGGTATAGATGGACATGGCTCCAAATTTAAGGCCACATGGAATATTATTAGGGAGGACCTGACAAAAGCTGTTAGAGAATTCTTTAAATCCTGTAGCATGCTTAAAGCAGTTAACTATACTCTTGTAACCTTGATACCTAAGACCTCTACTAATACTAGAATCAATGAGTATAGGCATATCTTTTGTTGCTTCACCCTTTACAAAAGTATAGCTAAGGTCATGGCTAATAGATTGAGTAAAATTCTGAGTAGCTTAACTGATGAGAGTAAAGTTGCCTTTGTCCCAGGCAAGCATATACAAGATCATAGTTTGTTGCCTTTTTGAGTTGATCATAGGGTACAATAGTAAAGGTGGCCCTCCTAGATTTATGATCGAAATGGATCTTCAAAAGGCTTATGACACTGTGGAATGGTATGCCATTGAGACCATTATAAAAGAAATAAACTTTCCCCCTAAGTTCATCAGGCTGATTATGGATATTGTGACATCTGTGTCCTATAGGTACAAAGTTAATGGTGAGGTCACTAAGCTCCTTAAGGCTAGAAAGGGGCTTAGGAAAGGGGATCCTCTCTCCCCATTGCTCTTTGTGATTGTGATGGATTACCTCCATAGAAGGTTTCAAAGACTCGAGATGAACCCAAAATTTAACTATCACTCAAAGTGTGAAAAGTTGAACATTATTAATGTTAGTTTTGCTGATTATCTCTTGTTATATGTGAGGGGAGATGCTACTTTTGTGGAGCTACTTATGGAGTCTATCAAGGATTTCTCCTCTACCACAAGCCTGATTGTTAACCCTAGAAAATTTAAGGTGTATTTTGGTAATGTGGATGAAGCAACCAAGAACAACATCTTGCAGCTGACCGGTTTCTCTCAAGGCAGTCTCCCTTTCAAGTATCTTGGCACTCCTTTGTCCAGCAAAAAGCTCTCAGGTTGTCACTTCCTGATTCTTACTGATAAGATCACCTATATAATTAAACATTGGAGATCCAAGTTGCTTAGTTTTGCGGGTAGATTACAGCTCATAAACAGTGTGGTATTTGCTACCTCTAATTATTAGCTTCAATGTATTCCTATGCCCAAGGCTGTCATTAAAAAAGTAGAGGCTATTTGCAGATCTTTTCTCTGGTCTAACAGTGATATAATTATTAGAAAGTCCCATGTATCTTAGAATAAGGTTTGTCAGCCCAAATCTCAAGGTGGCCTCAATGTTATTTCAATAGCTGATTGGAACAAGGCTTCCTTGTCTAAACTCTTGTGGAATTTATGTAGTAAGAGGGATAACCTATGGATCAAATGGATCCATAACTATTATTCTAAGAACCAAGACATTCTTCAGGTGCCTATTAAAAAGTCTTGCTCTTGGATTTTAAAAGGCATCCTGAATAAAAGGAACATGTAGAATCAGATTGTTGATTGGAATTATATGATGCACAAGGAAAAATTCAGCACTAGAGTCATCTGCCTAGCAATAAAGGAGCAGAATGATAGAGTAAATTGGAGAAATCTTGTTCTTACTAATCATGTTAGGCCTAGGGACGTATATACTCTTTGGCTAGCCTTCCACAAGAGACTTTCAACAAAGGATAGATTAAACAAATTTGGTGTGATCAATGATGAAACTTGTTGCTTCTACAATGAGAAGGAAACAATTCAACATTTATTTTTTAACTGTGTCGAAACAAGACAGATTTGGAGTGCTATTTTGGATTGACTTCAGGTTCCTCATCGTGTGCAAAACTGGGAAGAGGAGCTACCTTGGCTTATTGGCAAATGCAAAGGCAAAGGCTGGAGATCAGAGACTCTAAAATGTGTTATGGCAGAAACTGTCTATTCAATATGGATCCATAGGAATAATATTTGCTTTGGTGAGGTTAGCAATAGAGATAAAGTTGTAGACAACACCTTGAATTGTATTGTGCAAAGAATGTGGTTGAAACCTCGTCATAGGAAACATGTTAGCCTTCTCATGATTCCTTGATTGGCTTGTTGTGTGTGCTTGTTTGTGTTGGTGGCTAGTAATATATTTTACTTTTTCCACACAAAAAAGAAAGATGTACATAAGGATACCTTTTAATCAAGTTTCTATTTCTCTTATTCCAACCATGCTCTAGCTTGCTTTCTCACTCTCAATTGCAATAGAAATTTTGATGTGATGAGAGAAGAAGAATGTGAAAAATGAACTTTTCTTCTCAATTTTCAAATTTAAATACTAGCCAAGGGAAATTCTCCTTTTTCCCTTGGATCTTAGGCCAATTTACTAATGAATGTCATTCTATTTAAATTATGAATTAGGTATAGATTAATAACAATAATTGTCTCTAATTAACCATTCACCATGGTAAACATATTGTTATGGGCTAGACCGAGAGTTGCCCCTCAGTCGGGCAGGCCCAACCCAATACTATGCTGATGAAGCCCAACAAGGCCCAATCCTCCTCTGTCAGGCACACTCCTCAACAAGGCATCTCCTTTTGGCAGAGCATTATATGTTTGGGGAAGCTCACGCGCTTCCCCCACGGACTCCACGTGCCCCCCACGCGGGGACATGTCATCAGGGAACTATCCTCTTCCGAAAAAACTGGTCAGCCCACCTTCTGAAGATCATGGGTCAGTTGATCTAGGGCAAAGACCACGTGTTGTTCTTCCTTACGCCATGTAAGCCTGGGCAGTTACTCATATTGGGCCTTGCAATCCAGCCCAATGCAAAGTAACCGTTGGCCCTGCGCTGGGGGCACATTATAAATACTGTCTTTCACTAGAGGGCCATGTATCTTATTCTCTACACTTATTCTCTATGTGTTTGCTCTATATAAAACTATGTTACTCACTTAAGCATCTGAGTACCTTGCATGTTTACCCCTTCCTCTACAACACCGGTAAACATAGGAGTTCACAACGCATGGCGGGTTACTGATTACTTTCTGATCAGGTGAGATCAGTGGCGTCGTCTGTGGGAACCCTTTGCTCCCCTGTTCTTTCTCCTATCCAAGCATAGAAGCTCAAGAACCAAAGCAACTTTCAACCTCCATTCTGATCATGGCCAGCCCATGCAACGATAATGCTCCAGAAACCGCCTTTATCCCCTTCGCAAATAGGGACAGCCACGACCTCAACGTGACCGTCTGCAACGACGAGGGCGACTACAGGGACGGGCACACTGCCTCTCCCTCCTCGGAGGATGCGACCTACAACGCTGCCCAGCGCTTCAACAGCCCGGCTGTCTACCAACCCATCCCAGTGCTAGCATGCGGTGACCCTACCATGGTGGCTCTATTCGTGACGATCAACTAGACCAACCTAATGATCTTCCAAAAGAATGAGCGAATAGGGATGCTCGAGAGGAAGCGACCATCACACTCTCCCCCGCGGAGACATCGCCGCCCAATTTCCCGCAGCCCCTCTCCTCCCCCACGAAAGATGCGGCACGTCGATGATTCTCAGAGCCCTCCTCCTTGAAAAACTGGGCGTCACCCTCGTTTGGAGCGACCACAGCCAATGGCTTCCCAAAAGCGCGACTGGTCACCTCCCCGGAAGGAACGATGCTCCCTAGCTCAGAAGAAGAACAAAGTCGAAGGAGGCGTTACCAAGCCAAGAGCCTAACCAAGGAGTCCTCCCCGACGGAATAGAAACAACCATGGATCAGTCTCCCCCTCACTGCCACCTGTCAAGAGTGATGAAGAAGTTCAACGCTCACCACTATGTAGGGCCATCAGAGAGGCCCCACTGCCAATCAGGATGGAGAAACCCCCGCCTTTGGCAACATACGATGGCACGACCGACCCAAACGACCACATAGAAAGCATCGACACGATGCTCGATTATCAGAATGTGTGGGGAGCCATCAAGTGCAGGATTTTCCCCACTACCCTGAGAAAGGGTGCAATGATGTGGTACAAACGCCTTGCACCCGACTCCATCACCTCCTTGGGCAAACTGAAGAGGCAGTTCTCTAGGCACTTCACAGCTTCCCGGCACCATCCGAAGACAGAGGCAGTCCTGGAAGCCATCATCCAGGGGAAGAACGAACCTCTCCGAGATTACATAGAAAGGTTCAACCGAGAAGCCGTCTAGGTGTCCACCATGGATGATATGAAGAAATTCCTTATCCATAGAGGCATACGACCCCACTCTGACTTTTCCAAAGTCGTCGAGATCGAAAGCCCCTGCACCTTGAACGCTCTTCTCCTCAAGGACCAATCATACATCCAGTATGAGGAGATAGAGGTCACCAACACCGCCTGTGACACATGGAATTAGGAATGCCTCAGGGGCGTCAGGCATGAGGAGTTTGCTCCTCCTCGACGAAGCGGGGAAAGAAGAAGAGAATACTGGCCCCGCGAGTAGAAGGGACCAGCGAGCTGGTTCACTGAGTACATGCTGCTGACAGCTCCCCGCGAGTGCATCCTGTCCGAATGTATCAATTTGAAATTTTAGAGGAGCGGTGTCCGTTTCCCAAAACCGACGCCCCTGAAGCCCAACATAGGCAAATCCAAATACTGCCGATTCCACCAGATTCATGAACACATCACAGAGGATTGCATCTACCTCAAGGATGTAATCGAGATCTTAATTAAGGAAAGACACTTGAAACAGTACACCCAGAGAGGTGAGGCTCCCCAACCTGAGACCAGCGAAGCCAAGAGGGTCGAGGAAGTGTCGCCACCCTCCGAAGAAGTTGGACTACAGGTCGCCCTGTGTGTCTCCCGGCCAGAGAACTTCCTCTTTCTCAACGAGCCCACCAGACCGCTGTCTACCCACAATCCATGGGAAGATTTCCCCGCCACCTTGGTCATATCCGACGGGGGGCCAACAAGCTATTGGTCAGGTCATTTAAGAGGAAGTTCGAGGAACTCATCGACAAGAGCTCGAAGATGAACGCTACCTTCGATAAGTTCAAAGGTCAATCAAACCCGATTACCTTTTACGCCGAGGAGCTTCCCGAGGGTGCACCAAACTATAACATTCCCCTCTTGATCAGGGCTCAGATGGAAAACTTCGACGTGCGCCAAATCTTAGTCGACCAAGGGAGTTCGGTGGACATAATGTACGCCCATCTGTTTACGACCCTCCAGCTCGACAAGAGCCACCTGACCCCGTATGTAGGCTCTGGACTACAGGTCTTCAATGGTACCACCACCAAGCCTTGAGGGTACGTGGAGCTGCTCGTCATATTCGGGGCCGAGGAGACAACCAGACATGTGAAGGTTCATTTCTTGGTGATTGAGTGCCCCTCTCGGTACCAGTGTATCCTGGGAAGGCTGACCTTGGCTGAACTAATTGTGGTACCATCTATAGTCCACCTGAAGATGAAGTACTACACG